CATCCTTTAGAAATGAATTAAGAAGGTACTTACAGGTTCTCCTCGAGGTCCATCCTGCCCCGGAGCACCAGGTGATCCTGCTTCTCCCTTTTAATGATTTGATAAGAGGAAATAGAAAGTTCCATTTTTAGGTCTACAAACTAGAGTAACAGTATATAGCATTATATATTAAAACACACTTAATACAAACAGAAAAATAAAAATTCCTTTTGGATTATTGGTATTTACTTTCCTTAACATCAAATAACTTTTCCAGAAATTCATAAAGTGACTGTATAAACATTAAAATTTATATCTAATGGCAGATAATTAAGTTATAAAATAACTATGTCACACTATAGTCATTCTTATGAGAATAGAATAGTCTTCCCTTCAAAATAAATGTGATCAACATTCTATATCAATCCTTTTTATATTTATTTTGATTTTCATTTTTACTTTAAAATTTATCCTCCTGTTGGAACTAATTTGACCTTGCCTTCCAAGAGTTGCATTTTAAAATCAAAATAAAACTTTCATTAGGAATGTAATTACTTATAGGTTATTACTCAAAATTATCTGACACTTTAATTTAGTATATACCTATTTAAAATAACCATCTTATATGTATATTTTTTGGTAGCTGTTAAAATTATAATAGTTTTCATCTATATACACTTAAATTACCATTCTCAAATTATTTAACCATCTTATTTTACATCCACCTTTTGGTATGCTAAAATTTTTTTCCAATGAGTCAAGTGCCAAGGTAAACAAAAGTGTCTGACACCCTGCCTTACTAAAACAAAAATTATCTGAATATAATCTTAAAATGTATAATATCTGCACATTAATACAGCTATTAAATTACCTGAACAAAATAAAGGGTGGCAGGGGAAGAGCCTCTTGAAACAAACACACACACACACACACACACACACACACACACACACACACACAGTCACCCTCAAATATTTAAGATTCTTTTGAAAGCTAACAGGCATTAAGAGCCACGAGTTTGTTTCTATACCAAAGTGCTGCATCATAACAAGCAAGTTCTGTGCAAGCAATTAGGCCACACTTGTTTCATACTAGAAGAACATTTTATCCTAAACGGGATAAAGAGAGAAAGTAAAACAAAAGCATTTTTCTTGTAAATGTCTCAAATATAAGAGATGAAATAAGTTGAAAGGGGTAAGAGTCCCAGAATATAAACACTGAAGCAGATTCCAACACTGTTAACTGTAGATAACAGTGATGTTATCTATACTCTAATGAATTTCCAAAAATTGTAGAAAATGAAGCATAGAAAATTCTATATAACTTGAAAATATAATCAGCACTTAAAAAATTCACCCATATCATTTTGTATAAACGATTCTCCCACTTACACGAACTCCTGCATTTCATTAGCACACTGAAATACCAGCTAAAGCCAAATATGTCATCTGTTCCAGTTTTATTTACAAACACCAGATGACAGTTGAGGATAGAAGGAGCAAATAAAGCTTTCTTGTAAATTAACCAAAGGAGAGTGAGGGAAGGTTCTGCTAAGCCAATGGTTCTATACAGAAAAGCTTACGAACATGTCAGAGGAAACAAAAATGTATGTTGGGTCCACTTATTTTGAAAGCTACAGTTTAAAAAGCCTGAAAAATTCAAGACAAGGGATAAATTAGGTCCTAAATACAACAAGAAAATAATTCAATATCTTTATCTGAACTCAATGTTTCTATCAATAGTCAGGAGGGATCTTACACATCTGTGGTTCTCAAATATGGTCCTTAGACCAGGTAGATCAGCTTCTTTCCTTCACATGGAGACTTCTACAAAATGCAAAATTTCAGGCTCTAATTCAGCCCACTGTATCAGAAGTTTCGGGATGGGGCCCAGCAATCTCTGTTCTAACAAGTCTCCAGCTGATTCTGATGCAGCCACGTGAGATCATGGCACCGCTGTGACTTAACTTTGATACCTTGAGGTATTGTTATATGTGACTTATTAAGCAAATCTGCAGTTTAAGTTTTCTGTATATAAAATAAAGAGGGGAGAACAGTTGTCAAACAGTAGAAACAACTAATTTGGAATTGCATGACTAATTTGGTCTGCAAAAAATCTCTCCTTTTACTTCTCTGTCTGTCCATCGATCTAATCTTATTCTAATTAGCAAGTTTTATTTTAAAGTAGCCATCAGCAAGGTTTATCAATAATGAAGTTCCACAATTATTTGAGGATTTAATTTATTCTTATTCTTCCTACTTTTTAAGACAGCTAATCAGAATAATATGGAATTTAATGAACAAAGTATCGCCCATTCTTTATCAACTACAGCAGCGATTCTCAAAATTTAGCTTCATCAGAATCACCTGGAAGGTTTGTTGAACTGCAGATTATGGACCCCATCTCAGAGTTCCTGATTCAGTAGGTTTGGGGTAGAGCCCCCAAATTTGCATTTCTAATAAGTTTCTAGGAGGTGCTGATAGTGCTAGTCTTGGAACCACACTTTGAGAACTACTCCTGTAGCCGAGATCTCAAGATGGAAACTTACAGACCCTTTCTGCTCTTACGAATTCCTCTCTTCTATAAACTACAACAGCACTGCATAGCTTTACACTTAGTAATAAATTTTATGATGGCCAGGTTGTTCAGCAGGTGACTTGCTTATATAAGTGTTGTTTTCCTGATTTGTACATTCTTTACAGGCAGGAAACATAACTTACATGAGTTCTTTTGTCACCTACAAAATTTACAATAGTGCCAAGCATAAGACTATATGTACACTTCTTTACAACCATTGGAACATATCAAGGAAAGAGGAATGGACTATTCTTAAATGCTCAGTTTCAAGTGGATAAAAGAAATAGTAAAAAACATTTGTGAATAAGGCTCTATCATTGCTGCTGGAGGATTATGCAGGTTAGTTATTACAAGAGGATGGCCTGTAATATTTACCTAGGAATATGCTCTTCTTTCTTTTAATAATGGATTTTAATAATGTTTTATCAGGAAATGAAAGGATAATTTCTGCTTGACCATTTTCCCTAAAATAATCTAATGCAATATACAACTAGCCTGTAAAATTCAATATTGTAACTAAAACTTAACCTGGTCACTTGATTGTTTTCATGACCTGGAGAACCTGGTACAAGTCAGTTTGTTTGGCTTTTGGAAAAAGCATACAACATGGCTCCACTTTGGATTTAGCATTTTGCTATGCATTAACTTCCTTCTTGATGTAAAACAATTGAAAAAATGTCATGCCCAACATTATTCCTCAATCCAATTTCTACAGCTAATGTCAAAGATGATTTATTCCACAACAAACCAGTTATTCAAAAAAAGAAAATTTAACCAAAAACAGACATATGAAACTTGCATTGCATGTGTATTTCCTTTCATGCTGTGGCCTTTGGTATTTATCCACAAAAAATAAAAAGATGGAAGTAATTTACTTTGCAATCATAGCAATCTATAAAATCAGGTGGAAGGTATGGTTTACTGATCATGAAAATGTAATTTAATTTTAAGGAAGACCCTTATTTGTTATTAAGGAAACACTTTATTTTTACTTCAATCTCACTGCATAGTTTATTCTTAGTAGTTAAACAAATCTCTAGCATGTCAGAGGATGTATTAAAGATGTAAGGCTGGGGAATCTTCCTCTGGCTGACAAAATAAACAGACAAGACCTCTGCAAGGCATCACGCACAGAAGGGAGCACACAAACGAGGCCTGGAAGTCTTGCTCTGCCCCGGAACTAACTGTACACATTTGTACAAATCCTTTAATTTCTCCTAACCTGATGCTATGCATAAAATTCCATTAATACTCCCAACTTCGGGCAGGTGCAGTGGCTCACACTTACAATCCCAGCACTTTGGGAGGCTAAGGTAGCAGGACTGCTTGAGGCCAGGAGCTCAAGGCTGCAGTGAGCTACGACTGTGCCGCTCAACTCTAGCCTGAGCAACAGAGATAGACACCGATTCTTAAAAAAAGAATACCTCCAACATCACAGTTTCTTTTTTGTTTGTTTGTTTTGTGTGTTTGTTTTCAGGAAAATAAGTGCCTTTGTGAAAGTGCCTTACATAACTTTAGGCACAGAAGGGGCGATCCACTGCCACCAAACAGTCGGGGTTTGAACAATCCTTTATTCATGATGTGTTTTAGACTGTATTATTTTCAAGTCACATGTTATTTTTATATTTGAACTGCTATGGTTTGTCATTATAACTTTGGCAAAATGAATATTTTTTAAAGTATGGTCAATCCTTACTTTAATCTAGTTAAAATATCATTAAAAACAGTAGGATCAACAGTTTTACCATTATTTGGGTTTAACATGACTTTTCAACAAGTTGGTGAAAAGAATTTTCATTGATTATTTAATTATGGCTATCTGATGTTGGACAAGTTATTTAATCTAAGTTTCCTCATCTGTAAAAGGGTAACTTTTTTTCCACTTTCTAACTCATGATGATTTATGAGATTAATGAAAAAATGCATGCGAAGTGCTGCAAAAAGAGCCAAGCATGTGGTAAATATCCAATGAATTACATGTTTAGTCATAATCCACCCTCTCCTATCATCACTTCTCTTCATATCCAGCTTAAATACCACACTCCATTATTTCAACCACTCTCTAACTAAAATTCTTACCGCTTTACCTCACTGTACATCCACTGTAGAGGTTCATACAAATTCCAATGTTGAGTAAACCAAACTGAAAGCCACCTCAGACCTATGCTTGGATTCCAAGTATATGGCTATGGGGAAAAAATACCATTATAATCACACAGATTGTAACTTCCAGCTTGAAATGGACTTCAATGCTGCTTCTATATGTTCTTCATCTCTTCTCTGCCATATTTTTCACATATATAGAAAGTTTCTGCTATATAAAAAGTTTTCTAATCAACATAAGCTGTTTTTCCTCCCCCTTCAACAGGTGACAACTCCCACATTCTTAGGAAAAAACAGAAGACAAATATCCTACCACCAAACCAACACATTTACCTGTATTTGCACCCATCATTCCCTTTTTTTATTACAGCAAACAGGTGTCCCTCATCCAACCTTAAATAATCCCTTCTAACTCTTTTCTGTATCCC